GAACTGTTAAAACCTGATAGACCCTGATTAGAATTGATGAAACCTGATTGACCCTTATAGCCCCGATGAAACCTAATTAAAATTGATAAGCCTTGATCATACCCGATTGACCATAAAACCTGATTAAAACTTATAAGCCCCGATCAAACCTAATTTCCTTTGATCAGATCTGATCAAACTTGATTAGACCTTATGAGACTTGAAATCCAATTGAAAAGTATATAATTAAGAGAGAAAAACTTATAAATAAATTAAAATAAATAATTGCATATTTGTTATTAAAGTTCTAACACTAAAGATATTTTCAAGGTATCAATAATAAACATTACTTATTCAGCTTTACTTATGATATATCGGTTTTTTTCAAGTTGTGACACTTTGAATCAAAAGAAAAAAACAACTTTCACAAATTTAATCAATTTTTTTATTAATTTATTTATATCTGTTACTTTTTAATCAAATTTTTTAAAGTATCCATATTTATTCTATAAAAAAAAAGAGATGGGAAAAAATTATCGATGATATATGGTCCAGGGTTTGTTTTATATCTCGAGATCAAATATGTTAAGTATTAGGAAAATCAATACCTATAAAAACATTGTTGTTGTTATTATTATTATTATTATTATTATTATTATTATTATTATTATTATTATTATTATTATTATTATTATTATTATTATTATTATTATCTGGTTACCAACAATTTTATTTATATGTGCTAGTAATTTCCTTAAATCTTATTAAATTTATGAATTCTTATGAAATCTGATTGGAACTTATAAAACCACATTATAACTAATTGAAATAAATGAGAGCGGATTGAAATTTATTACTATACTTAATCAGACCAGACTAGACCAGACCAGACCTGATTGAAACTTATTAAACCTTATGAGAAATGATTGAAACTTATTAGACATAATCTGACCTAAAATGACTTGAAAAAGAAAGCAACCTAATTCATGACATACATGCCCCCAATATATCGTGAACACTCATGCTTATTCCACCTCTCAGATTTTTCTATTGCTTTCCTCTATCCCACTCCCTCTCTACTATCTTGGCGACCATCATTGTTAGGGCTGTCCACATTTCGGACAAAAATCCAAAGTCCAATCCAATCCAATCCAAATAAGCAATTTGGATTTGATTTTTGTAAATTTGGATTGGCTTTGGACTCAAAATTTTAAAATCTTGGATTTTCAGATTGGATTTGGACTGAAAATTTTAAAATCCAAAAATCCAATCCAATCCAAATTATATATATATATATATATATATATATATATATATATATAGTTTAAAAGATTTTTGTATAGAAATAAGAATGTATTGAGGATTAGATGTATTTTCCAAAATAGAAATTGGATTGTTTTTAGGTTGGAATTAATTTATTTTTATCTCTAGTGTATAAGGGGAATCAGGAGGTGTGGTGTCCACTTGAATTCCCCTTAATACGCCTCAAATAATTTCTAATCTTCAATATGTAGTAAGGGTCTAATTGTAAATGTTAATAATTTTCCTCATCCTTTTTATCTCAAGTATTTCTTTCTGTATGATAAAACTAATCACTTTGAATCTCTCCATCCATTTCCCTTTTAATGGAAGTTTTTCCATTTAGTTATTGGAAATCAACAGTATTGAATCGTGGGGCAAGCAAATTCACAGTCTTCAGAGAGAGATGTAGGTAAGTTTGAGTTTGATAATTGTTGAATTGAACTATATATACAAAGTGTATCTATATACATGCATAAATTGAATATTGGTCCTATAGTTATAGTTAATCTATCTGATAATGATGTTGTTGATGCAGTTGTAAAAAAATTTAATTTTTCAGTGAAATTTATCTTCATTAGGGAGGATATTCAGAATTAATTCAGGTTTGCAAATTGTATACTCCATCCGTTCGCATTTCCATTTTTCCCACTATTCACTCATAGAAGGAATCTCTTACATATCTATCAATATATATAAAAATAAACATAATCATGTGGGGTCTTGATATTGATATTAAAGATATAAAATGTGCATTGGGGAGCGTATGAACAGTAAATGCACAAAAAGTCATGAAATGGAGGGAGTAAATAGTCATGTTTTTTTTCAAATTCTAGGTGAATCATTGAAATATTGTAAATAAGAGAAATTTTGTATATACCTATAAATGTTTGTAATCAAACCATCAATGATGGAAGCAAAACAACCTCGTCATTATCTTAGATATTGATCCTCTGTTATAAATTGCTACTCTATTGCTCAATGCCCTATACACTATCACTTTTTATCTCTTCAAACTTCAACCCCATTTACAAGTAGACATTTGATAATAATTTTTATGAAGAAAAATCCAAGCAATTCACAAGCCATTGGTGAGTTTTACATGCAACTGGTCCTTTTCATAATTTGATTTTCTTTTTGTTATTGCATTAATCTATTTCAGAATTTTGTGTTCAGGTGTGTTATTAAGATTACTTTCGATACCTTCATTAACTTATTCCATTGCTTTACTTTGTAGTGTGCGCTTATGGAACCTTATTAGCAAAAGTTTGTAACCCCTAATAGAGAGTCCAAAAATTAAGGGTAAAACAAAAAAAACTCGCAAATTAGTTCAACAACCCACAAAATCACACACGCAATGTTAAGCACGCATCGCGTGCATAAAAAAAGCCGGCGGTATACAATTAGAATAAAGGTTGTGGAAAAATTAAACTTGCGCTGATTATTATTGTCGAGTGTAATTTCCCTGTTGGGTCGATTTATATTGATATGTGCATTGTGCTTTATTTTATTTTGGCACATTTTCACTTCAATCTATTTTTATATTGTTTAACTTCATTTTGGTTTTACTTTTGCTAATTTCCCTTACTTTTCTCCTTTTTATCCCTCTTTGGCTTTTTTTTTTTTTTTTTTTGACAGGCCTTTTTATCCCTCTTTGTTCAATCTATTTTCCTTTTGACTTCACTCATATTATAATGCATTATTTTTGAAATTTTTTTGGATTAAAACAAAATAAGGATTAGGGCCTGTTTACTTCAAATTAAATTCAGTTCAGTTCAGTTCATTTTTAATCGGTTCAGTTCAGCTCAATTTAGTTCAGTTTTAATCGGTTCAGTTCAGTTCAGCTCAGTTCAGTTATTTTGCTAATTATTTTGTTTTACATAATTATAATAATAATAATATTGATAATAATAATAATGATATTAATAATGATAATAATAATAATAATGATTATAATAATGATGATGATGATGATGATGATAATAATAATAATAATAATAATAATAATAATAATAATAATAATAATAATAATAATAATAATACCTTTGATGTCGTAATAGTGTTCGGCAAAATATTAGTAATACAAAACATTTACTAGTTTTCATAATCGGTTAGTTCTTCGTCTTCTTGTTCTTGTCCATCAAAACTTTTTAATTTTTAATTTTATGGTAAGGTATACGATTTGTTTGTTGTTTGTTAGTAATACATTTTATGTATATTTTTATTATTTAAAAAAAATGGGTAAACAGATCCGGGTTTGGGTCCTTTATGAGGACCCGATCCACATCTATTTTTTTAATAGGATAAAGATCTTTAATTAATATTTTTTGATTTAAAGGGTTTAATAATATATTAGAGCTATAATTAGTTTTTTTAAAGACATTATGAATATACAATTTTTGCACATCCGTTTAATCAACCAAAATTTGATATCAAAATATATAAATTAAACAAACAAAACAAAAACTATTAGTAGATTTATTTTGAACTTCGTTTTATTTTTCTTAATTATTTGTGGATCTATATCATTATTATTAGTCCGTAGTTACTATTTTAATTAACCAAGATATATCATTAATCAATAGTTAAAAATATTACTCCAAAGTTCAATATTTCAATTCAGGTCAGTTTAGTTCAGTTCAGTTTAATTCTAATCAGTTCAGTTCAGGTGTTTTCAGCTGAAGTAAACAGACCCTTAGGGCTTGTTTACTTCAGCTTAATTTCAGTTCAGTTTAGTTCAGTTCAGTTCAGATCAGTTTAGTTCTCAATTTCCTTCTCTCATAAACAATGAATTTCAGCTCAAGCTCAGTTCAGTTCAGTTCAGTTCAGTTCACTTTAGTTCAATTCAGTTCAGTTCAGGAGTTTTCAGCCGAAATAAACATGCTCTTAGACTTTTTTTTTCAAATATTTTTTTTTCAAAAATAATACGGAGTACTCCGTCCGTCCCAATATGTTTGCAACATATTTCCTTATTTGGGTGTACCAAAAATGTTTGCAACATTCGCAACATACTATATTTATTTACCCAACTTTATTATTTTACACTCACATAATCTCTATTATATAAGGGAGAGTAGGGGGTGGTGGTTGGTGGGAACCTGAAATTACCAACCTACCCTTACTAATCGTTCATCAATCTTTATTTCAGTAAGGTTATTTTGGCAAATCGAATATAATTATAAAAACGTGAGATTACACTATTACCCCTGGTAATCATTCCTCACTACTTATTTGAGTAAGGTTATTTTAATAAATTGAATATATTATAATCACGTGAGATTACACTACCACCCTTACTAATCTATTTTCACTCTTTAATGGTCAATATGGAAGCAATCAAATTAGATGATTTCAATCAAGCAACTTCATAACATGACTTCATTTATAATAATGCGGGAAAAATTAGATTGTGGGAAAAAAATAATTAAATCAATTATCGCTCAATAAACCAAAAATAAAAGGCATTTCTCAATCATATAAACACAATTGTTTTCTTAGCATAATTAACTTAAACTTCTCTCTCATTATATAATAGAGATTCAGAGATAATGTACGTCGTATAATTCTTTTACACACAATATATCACACACGCACAATTCTAGTATTATATGAACCCCACTATATTTATCTCTCCTCCACTTAACTACCACAATCACCAATTCACCACAAATCTTTATACTATAAGACAAAAAAAAATAACAAAGTAACCTCCTTCTCTTTGTTGCAAACAAAGAGGGACGAAGGAAGTACTTGGTAAATAAATAAAAAGCATTTAAAAATATAAAAATTAGATTGGCATACACGTCTCTGAATTTTTGATCCGTTCGTCATAAGTGAGAGTCACCACTAACACTAATTAGGGTTTCGAACTTCGGCGGTCGACGTACGGCGGGAAGTGGCGGCGCTGCACGAGGTCTTCAATTCGCTCGACAATATTAGGTGAATTAAATCAATCTTATCTCAGGAATCATTGATTTGATTGCTTTATGTTATATATGTTGAATTGCTGGATTTGCTGCTATTTTCTAGTTAGACTTTAGAGATTAGGTTGGGTTTTTATCAAAATAAAGAAAGCAAGCAGATTCATCATTCACAATTTCGAAATTCAATTCATTTGTAAATTATTATCATTTATTTATAATAATCATATTGTTGCTATGTTGATAAATTTATCTTATTGAAGATTAATTTCGAATCCGACCTTGTCTGTAAGCTTGTTTGCCTGTGTTGCTTTTGGTTTGCTACTCTTGAGTTCCCTAACTTTTCTGAAACACAACTTAATCATCATCTCGAAATTCATAGTGAAACTTAATCGTTGATTTCAGAATTTTTATTGTTGTCGCTTTGTTGATTAATTTCGACTAACTGTTTCATATTATTGCTTGATAAAGTGTTTATTTTCTGATATTTGGGAGTTTTTATGAAATGGGCATGAATGATTTTGTGGGTTTTGATCGTTTATTTTCTGATATTTGGGAGTTTTTATCAAGTGTGTCATGTTTATAATCTGATTTTTGGGAGTTCTTATGTTTTAGGTATAAATTTACATGTGATTTTTGATTTGATTTTTTGTTTGGGCATGTCCCTGCCAGTTCTTTCTCCTTCAATTTTTACTTTTACTGCTGCTCCATCCAACCTGTCCCGTTTCAACCTTTACACTTGCATTCTTGTTTGGTTGTATGATATTGAGCTGATATTGTTTGGTACTTTGTCTAACCATCCGTAAGCTTTTGTGGTTCATTTGTTAAACTTGTTAATCTGGTTATGGTTATGTTTTTGTGGTGTCACTCTTATTGCAAAGAGAAATGTTTGTGTCACCCCCAAACTCGATACATTTTCATCTTGTGATTGATAATTGAGGGTGCCACTGGTATTTAGAATTAGGATTAAATTTTTATCTTTTCAATCCTAATTCTATCATTTTTTCTTTCAAACCTAATTCTATCATTTTCCTTTCAATCCTAAACCTGCGTATTTTAGATTTTTATAGGATTGAAAATAAATATGATAGAATTAGAATTGAAAAATTAAAGATTAAAATCAATTCAAAAAAATATTTTTCCTACGTGGCGTACTCACTCTATGCTTTCGAAATCGTATCATTTTAGAATGTATATATTGATTTATTTTTTTGTAAGGCAATATAAATGATGTATATCATCTGTCATCTGATGTAATAGGAACATGAAAGTCTGAAAACCCTAATTTGCATTCATGTCACAACATTAAATAAAACTGTAGTGGGAATGAATTTTATTGAAATAAATAATGATATTGAAAGAGGGAAAAGGTAGGCAAATGAGAACCAAGAGTATCACCATGGTTAACATAACAAGATGAAAGAAGAAGATTGCAAATAAGTTTTCATATGAATGTATAATGTAACAATGTGGAGAAATGAAGAAGCTCGCTCAATAACCTTTTAATTGAAATTTGATTGAGAAGGACGAAAAAGCTAAAGGCAATTTTGTTTGGAAATTCTTGATATGAGTAATATCTGAATGTGTGCGATAATAGCCCAATTCTAATTCCTTTTGCCTTAGTATACTCAGACATCTAGCTGATTTGGGTCAAATCCAACATTTCAAATGTAATGACTATTCCATTCCCCTGTTTTATCTCTAAAGCCAAACAAAAACTGATTTTATTTTCCATCAAAAGTTACTCCACTCTTGTGCAGATCAGAATGTCTTCTGGAAGCTTTAGTGAGGGTTCTTCATCATTGCTGTTGTCATCGAGGCGGGTGGCAAATACAGTGTTCTTGTTCATGACTCATAGTCCATCAGATCGTATCGCTCACACCTTCTTCTGCTGTGAAATCCCTACCAACTTGCCTAATGATGAAGTCGACTTCAAAGATGATTTAGAAGCGGAGAGGCTAAAGCCAATATTGGAGTTTCCCTCCAGTGAATTCCCAAATTTTATGACGTGTACGCAGCTTGGGTCCTGTTTTTATTTTCTGGGTGGGCGGCTCCTTCAGATGGGTACCAATGTTGAACAGATATATCCTTCTAATGTCTATATGTTTGATGCGACTACAATCACAAATACTACTTCTACTCATCCTACCCCATTAGAGTGCGGGATGAGGAGTGGGAAGCCTCGTGCTTGCACGTTTGTTGCAGATGGAAAGCTTTACGTTTTGTGTGCTTTCCAAAATATCATTGGCCTGGATGTAGACTATAAATCCATACAATTATTTGAGGTCTATAATCCTGAAACGGGCAAGTGGCGGAATCTGAAGGATCCTCCCGTGGAAAAACCACTACACTGGCGTATCCCCTCGTTTGAAAGAGTGTCTGAGTCTGGAGACAGCCCTTACTATCCCTACACCCGCAAGGTGGCTTTGATTGGTCGACCAGCAGACTCTCGCTGTACGATTGTGCTCGAGTTCAATCTGGACACTGAAGAATGCACTCCAATGAGGCGGATGATTCCGTATCTGCCTTTAGGTTTGATAATGGGTGACACAGTGTACCATCTTGGCGTCAGAGGAATAAAGTATTATCAACCTAAAAAGACGAAGATTTTACCAAATCATCCATGGATGATGGGGGAGGAGTTGTTTACTTTGCCAGGAGACCCTTGTTTTTGTGGGTTGCAGAATGCTTTTTGCCACCTTGGAGACATGCATTTCTGCTATGTGAGTACTGAGCTTGTTGGCCGCCGATGTTATGGGGGTACTCACCTTTTTATCCGAATGGGTGTTATTAGAGTTGTACAAGAGCAGGATTCATCCAGGTCTGAGTTGCTATATTCTGCCAAATTTGATTACGAAGTTGAATTTTCCTGGTTCAATAATAGGTTTCCCTTCATTGACTGCTATGGGCTCTACCTTGTAAGTTGTCTCTCTCTGCCCCGTTATTTCTTACATGTCTTAGATATTGTGTTACAATTATGTGGATTGTGTATGCGTAGTTACCTGAAATATTTTGTTTTAAACAAGAATATGTGTTAGATAAACTGTGTTTAGTAACCATTCCGCAAGAAACATGTTATTATTTATTTTATTATGAGTATTTTGCAGGGATGTACCAAGAAAATAGGGCATTTTGTGGGGAACTACCATAGTAAATTTTTTTTGTGGGGAAGTACCACGATATATTTAAGTTTTGTTTTAAGGTACCAAGAGGCCATTTTCCGATGACAAAGTCAACTTCCCAGCCAGTTGACTACTCTACTTACAACGATTTGTCTTAATTATACCATGATTTGGCTAGTTAACTACTCTTTGTAAGCTCACAAGCTTTGTTAGAGAATAACACGAACCAAAATTAAGACAAATAGTGGTAACTATAGTAGTCAACTAGTCGAAAAGTTGACCTTTTCACCAGAAAATGAACTACTGGTACCTTTAAACAAAACTTAAATTTATTGTGGTACTTCCCCCCCCCCCCCCCCCAACAAAAAAAAAAAAAAAAGAAAATTTACCCTGGTAATTCCCCACAAAATACCCTATTTTCTTAGTACATGCCCGCAAAAAACTCTTAAACATTCTAAAGTATTGACTTTTTCTCTCAGGTCCAAACTTATTCATCTAATTTGACAGTAAGGGTCCTTGTGACCTGATAACTTACTTTCTTCATGTTTTGAATTTTTTCTGCATTATCTCTCATTATTGATATTGTTGAGTCTTGAAGTTAGTTTGTGATGTTATTTGGACAGTTTTCAAAAAGAAAGATGGCAGGAAGATTCAATTGACAGTTTCTTATAGTGTGCTTGTGTTGATTTGTTAATAATGGTGAGGCATAAATTGTGGCACTCTCAGAAAGTGTGAAGATATGACAACAATATATTTGGTGAGGAAAGCTTTATTGAGAGAAAGATAAATGACAATTTTCATGACTTGGGAAGAAGAAAACAAAACCAAAAAAAAAAAAAAAAAAAAAAAGGATAAAGGAAAAAAGAGAAAAAAGAAAAGGAATGTTGTAAACAGAGGGTAAAAGGATTTAATGATTAAGGCCATGCCTGGAGTGGGGGTCCTATTAATTAAGTAGTAATAAAGGTCAAACTAAGGAAAATATAAGTCGATAGAGGTGGTGATAAAAAGAATAAAGCGGTAATAGTTACCCTCCATTGCCCTTGGGTAATATCTACTCTATCTCTCCCTTCCCACCACCAAGTCACTCTATAAGTTTTTTATCACCACCTTTGTTTATTATCATCTTTTTTCTTGTCTCCACTTTTAATCACTCTCATTTCTCTCTAGTTTGACTTCTATTGCCCCATGTAATGTATTACCCCCAATTCAAGTATGTCCTAAAAGAGTAAGAGTGTAAAGGGTAAGTAATAATAAAATAAAATAAGGGTATGTTTATTGGTGATCTTGGTGGGAGTCTTGACATGAGATTATATTGTGATGTTTGATCCAATATAGTATCAAGACGAGTTTTGGATTTCAAAGATTCTATTTAAGACTATACATGCATACATGACATTATTTTATTGGTTGTAATGTTCTTTTTTTTTTTAATTATAAAATTAACAATCGTTGTGTCTATATTGAAATTTGGGGATGAAGTGCAAAGATATTGAGTCTAATATAATTAAAAGTTGGTGGAAAATTGATGTGGCGGAGTGTAAGTTTTAGGGATAAAGTTACTTTAAAAATCAGAAATGAGAATTATATGCTTTCTCCGTTTTTTTTAGATGATACATTTTGC